CCTGCCTATGTTTAGTTCTTATCACCAAAAACTGACAGTCTGGGATCAAGCATAAAGAAATAACAGTCTGAGAACCAAGAAGTTTCTTCTCTTTTCTGACTGGTGATGGGTTTTTATTTCTGCCAGAATTAGGTGTTACCCGTACAAAATACATTCCCTTAGTAAAAGAAAGATGCTGTCAGCTTCTCCAGTGAGTACAGCTATTTCAGCCTGTCAGATGAGTGATAGAGGAAGGAACTTAGATTATTCTAGAGAGCTCTGTTTCATATAAATATTGAATAAAATTCATAGAAAGATAGACAAGGTACTGGGGGGGGGGTATGTAAAAATTAATAAATTCTGCAGTCTTGATTATCTTCCTAGAGAAAAAGTTTTGGAAGCAAGCCATTTTCATTTTATAATTCACATTATTTTCTTTTCAGGGACTTTGCCTTAAAAATAATAATAATAAAAAAGCTTTCCTCTATTGCAAAATTGTACAGAAGCCACACTAATTGAAAGATGCAACAAATTCTATCTCAAATGATTTGCACAAGTCATTCAAAACATAACTGCCATTTTTATCTTTTTAATTTAAAGAAGTAAAGAGAAATACTCAAGCCTATTGAATATTTTAGTTCTCATAATTTTTACCCTCATGGAAAACTCTTACAGAATTGATGAAGGTTGAAACCAATACAGTAATGTCTTATAAAATGTAAATTATGACCTAAATTACTATAAAAATCTATAGAATTTAGAAAATATTACATTTGTTCCATAATTTTTAAACCATTTTATAGAATCGACTAGAGAATAATATTCCATAGATAGGGTTAAAAATTCTATTGAAAGATCATAATTCTCTATTTATTATATAAGACTTTCCATAAGGGATCATTATAACTTGTAAAGCTTATAAGAACCTTATTAACATTCACCCAACATTAGCAACGATAGTTCTTTGGAATAGTTTTAGTGGATTTATACATGAGGTGTTTCTAAAAGATGAAACTACCTTATATCCTACCCTCCTTTCCCCCTTTTTATTAATTCATTTATATACTTCCTGATCCTAGCTGATGAATGCTGAGGCTGCTAATTCAAGCCTATTTTAGAATGTGCTCCTAGATTAAAAAAAACAAAAACAAATCTCTGTTTTCTGATTGCTCTGACTGAATCCAAATGTAATATCTGTTAAATGTAATTAGAAACTATCAGTAAATGGATAAGGTGGCTGTTGGGTGGCAAACAAACTCATTTGATGCATTGTAACCCAGCTCAATAAGTTCTGCCTGGATATGCTTTGAATTTGAATTATTAGTAAATATAAATGATAAAAGATCTTCTAATTTCAGCAAAACACACTGAAAAGCATCTATGACAATGAATTTAAAATTAAAAAAGCATCTGTCTAGCAAAGAATGATTGATATTGTTCAAGTTGTATAGGACTTTTTGCTAGGTGAAGGAAAATAGGTTGATTAAATTATTTGGAAATCCTTATTGGGAAATATGAAATGGCTTGCACAGTAGCATTATTTTGTAAATAAATTAGCATATTGTTGTGACAAAGAATGCGTCTTCTAGACTTATTGAGATGAAGACCTGATAAGAAATTATTAGGGGAAGAGTTGAATATGAAACCATTCTAAAGACTTCTGTCACTATCACTAGGATGTGGAAAAAGCTAATGTACTCAATGCTTTTTTTGCCTCTGTTTTCACTAACAAGGTTAGCTCCCAGACTGCTACGCTGGGCATCACAAAATGGGGAAGAGATGGACAGCCCTCTGTGGAGATAGAGGTGGTTAGGGACTATTTAGAAAAGCTGGACGTGCACAAGTCCATGGGGCCGGACGAGTTGCATCCAAGAGTGCTGAAGGAACTGGCGGCTGTGATTGCAGAGCCATTGGCCATTATCTTTGAAAACTCGTGGCAAACCGGGGAAGTCCCGGATGACTGGAAAAAGGCTAATGTAGTGCCAATCTTTAAAAAAGGGAAGAAGGAGGATCCTGGGAACTACAGGCCAGTCAGCCTCACTTCAGTCCCTGGAAAAATCATGGAGCAGGTCCTCAAAGAATCAATCCTGAACACTTGCATGAGAGGAAAGTGATCAGGAACAGCCAGCATGGATTCACCAAGGGAAGGTCATGCCTGACTAATCTAATCGCCTTCTATGATGAGATTACTGGTTCTGTGGATGAAGGGAAAGCAGTGGATGTATTGTTTCTTGACTTTAGCAAAGCTTTTGACACGGTCTCCCACAGTATTCTTGTCAGCAAGTTAAGGAAGTATGGGCTGGATGAATGCACTACAAGGTGGGTAGAAAGTGGCTAGATTGTCGGGCTCAACGGGTAGTGATCAATGCTCCATGTCTAGTTGGCAGCCGGTATCAATGGAGTGCCCCAAGGGTGGTCCTGGGGCGGTTTTGTTCAATATCTTCATAAATGATCTGGAGGATGGTGTGGATTGCACTCTCAGCAAATTTGCGGATGATACTAAACTGGGAGGAGTGGTAGATACGCTGGAGGGGAGGGATAGGATACAGAAGGACCTAGACAAATTGGAGGATTGGGCCAAAAGAAATCTGATGAGGTTCAATAAGGATAAGTGCAGGGTCCTGCACTTAGGACGGAAGAACCCAATGCACAGCTACAGACTAGGGACCGAATGGCTAGGCAGCAGTTCTGCGGAAAAGGACCTAGGGGTGACAGTGGACGAGAAGCTGGATATGAGTCAGCAGTGTGCCCTTGTTGCCAGTAGGCCAATGGCATTTTGGGATGTATAAGTAGGGGCATAGCGAGCAGATCGAGGGACGTGATCGTTCCCCTCTATTCGACATTGGTGAGGCCTCATCTGGAGTACTGTGTCCAGTTTTGGGCCCCACACTTCAAGAAGGATGTGGATAAATTGGAGAGAGTCCAGCGAAGGGCAACAAAAATGATTAGGGGTCTGGAACACATGAGTTATGAGGAGAGGCTGAGGGAGCTGGGATTGTTTAGCCTGCAGAAGAGAAGAATGAGGGGGGATTTGATAGCTGCTTTCAACTACCTGAAAGGGGGTTCCAAAGAGGATGGCTCTAGACTGTTCTCAATGGTATCAGATGACAGAACGAGGAGTAATGGTCTCAAGCTGCAGTGGGGGAGGTTTAGATTGGATATTAGGAAAAACTTTTTCACTAGGAGGGTGGTGAAACACTGGAATGTGTTACCTAGGGAGGTGGTAGAATCTCCTTCCTTAGAGGTTTTTAAGGTCAGGCTTGACAAAGCCCTGGCTGGGATGATTTAACTGGGAATTGGTCCTGCTTTGAGCAGGGGGTTGGACTAGATGACCTTCTGGGGTCCCTTCCAACCCTTATATTCTATGATTCTATGATTCTATGATTCTATGACTTTCCTAAAGCTCAGTAGTTTAGAGCAACAGTTAGGTGAGACTTCTCAGACAGTAGGTAAGACGAGAGTCTTGAGTGAGAGAAAGGAAATCTGAAATCAGGAGGTTTACTTCTAGACAAACTTTTACTGAGGTCTTTTCTATAGGGAAAAGTTTCTTCTACATAGTGAAAAAAACCCCTATAAATATACAGGTCTGACTAAAACTGAAAGTGTGTGTCCACTTTGTCTAAAGCAACTTAAGCTACTTTCATTGGGAATCATAATATCCACCCAGCATTTCTCTTTTTCAAAATAAACATACAGCCTTCTGATCAGTTATCCTAGGGTCCAGTATTTCACAGCTGGGGTCAATGCATCATGGGATGTTTATTGTGTTGGACTGAGAGATATCTTCTGGAACCGAGTGGAATTCTGGGACTTGGGGACAAATTCCCATGATTCCTTATATCATATCCCATAATTCATCTGGTTTTCTTTAGCCAGTACCATTTTCAAACTTCTGCCAGCAATGGGACTATTTAGACACAGAGGGCTAGATTCAAAAGGTACTTAGGTACCTAAACCCCTGACTTAGGCACGTAATTATGGATTTATGCAATTTTACAATTTGTTTAGGCTGCAAGACTAATAACTACAAAACCAGACAATATTAAATTATGTAACATGTTAGGGTGGAGCTAACAATAATAAAATAGGAAGAGAAGATATATATGAATGAAATGAATGAAAAGCCTTACTTTAGATGTCTGGATACCCATTTCTTGCCGAAGCCCCAGAGTGATACATGAACCAGGGAAGACAGGCATTAACTAGCTTACCTCGCATGCAGGATCCAATCTGGTAGGTATGCTCAGAGGCTGCCTACCAGATTGGGTCGCATTCAAAATCTGGTTGGAAGAGGGGGTGGTGATGGTGCCCACCTTACAACTTTTAGCCCAGTGGTTAGAAGACTCACATGGCATATGGGACATCACCATTCTTTCTCCTCTGGCGGAGAGGGGAAAATTGATCCTGGATCTCCTATATCCCAGATTAGTGCCATAACCACCAGGCTAAAAGTTATAAATTGGACACCACCACTACCTCCTCCTCCTTCTCTGGCCATTTTGTGTGGAGCTAGGCACTTGCCTAAGTAATTCTTTAGGAAACACCATAGGTAGCTGCCTGACTTCAGGAGAGGTTGTACCTGACTTCAGGAGAGGTTCCTGTTTGTGAACAGCTAGCAGAAATAGGGGCCTATCTCCGTGAGAAGGGAGGGGAGGGTTGGGGCTTCTCATCAGCATCTCCCAATGGCTGCCTTTTGTGAATTGCATTCTTAGGCACCTATCTCTCCTCCTTTATTGTATAGGGACCTAAGTGCCTAACTCAGACTATGTTCATCACAGTGTTCCTGTCATTTTCAAGGCGTCTAAAAGTTAGGTTTTGTCAAACTGAGTGTCAAAACACCTTAATACCTTTCTGAATCCAGGCCAGATGAGCACTGGGACAGGGCAGCAAAACAAAACAGACAGAAAGCAGCTGCTGCTAATTAATGACTTGGGGTGCAGGTATATTTTAGCTACAGTCCTTAAGGATGAATTATCTATAGGAAGCTTTGCTGTTATGCTGACATTTATTTACATCAACAGGAATCTGTGTACATACTGGCTGAAACTCTCCCTTTTGCAGAGAACTAGCCCACGGATGGTTCCACATGGATCCAGTTTAAGCAGAGTGAATTTCACCTTCTGAAGGTAAAATCAGTGCAAAAGATCACCCTAAGTCTGTGCATCACTCCTCCTTCTCTCAGTGAGGAATCAGATTAATTTAGACACCCCAGACTCTACTTACACTGCCTGGGAGACAGGCCACTGAATTTTGGAATGCCTAATTAACCTCTTTTTTTGCATTTCCCATAGAAGCTGGATTACTTTATTTTATATACATAACTCTTCTGCCAGGTGCTTAACAGCTGCAAGAAGGGCTGGGTTCTGTCTTCAGTCTAAAGGGCTGGGTTCTGTCTTAGCATGCCTGGAGGTTCCACCACCTAACCCAGCTCATTGATTCAGCTTTAGTAAGGTTCTGGGTAGGTGGGGTCCCATCAGTGTCCACTTTGCACTGCTTCTGTCCTCTGCATTGTCTCTCATCATACAGTCCTCATTCTCTGCTATCTGTCACAGCCAAGTCCCCATGGGAGGGGAGCCAAGAGCACATAAGTCCTTTGAGCAGAGTCCCAGGTGCTTGGAAGTCAGTTCTTTACCACAAGGTAAAAAGCTCTTTTCCATCTCTGATCCTCTCTGGGAGCCCACTACTTCCCCAAATCCAAGTGAATGTGTACTTAAGCTGACCTCCTAAGTGTCAGAACAATTGCAGGTAGGTAGTCGATGCAAATGGATCTCTCTATGGCAGCACTTTTCTCTGTTACCAACAGACAGAATAAGAGCTCTTTCCCCTTTGGAGCTGATGGCCATAGTGCTTACATATTTGATAATTTAGTTACAATTTAGGGGGGAAATCCTCTCAGATCCACACAGCAGAATTTGCCTTCAATATTCTGGTCTCCCTATATGTATGCAACTCTATTTTATATTGCTAACAGTTCCATGCATGCGGAAAGAACAGAATATCAGAGGAGAGATCCACTTTGTAGCTGTAAGAAGAGCCTTTAGAATTCTAAAGGCCATATATTCCCAAAATTTACCCACGATAAAGACAACCTGCTTCTGAATCAGCTGTGGCTTTAAATAATAATGTTAAGTGGGACCCTGTAATTTGCCTTATCTCTAAATGAGCTTGTCATGTAAAGGCATTTTTGAAAGTAGCCTTCAGTGCTGTGGCTTACTGGCTCTTCACTGAAGTTCTGATTCTGCTGCTGTAGAGCTCCCTACTAAAACATACACATGAGCTTGCAGGCATCTACAGTATAAGGCAGCTGCCCCATATGGATTTTTCCCTTCTAAGAGTTATGCTTTTAATTTAACAGCTATTGATAGTTGCATGAAGGGATGGGTAATTGGAATGAAGATGAAAATATATTTTCAGTGTATTTATTTTCTGATTGGAACTGTACCTATGGACCCTACTGGTAGAGTAGCCACTATGAAGTTTTGGCAGAAGCCAAACGTTCTTATGTGGTAGGCTGCCATACCAACTTATAAGCACAAACACAGCATAACACTGAAAACCCACAATAGATCTGCAAACTTTGAAAAGGAGAAGTCAGGGCTAAGCTGTCTCTAAAGGTAGTCTGTTAACTCTGCTTTTGACTTTAAACCCTGTTGTGCCAAATCATCTTTAACTACCCTAACTAATTTACAACCCTTCAGCAGCCCTTGTTGAAGCAGCACCAAACTTGAAAGATTACTGGCAGCTTCCCATAATGCTGCCCTTACTTCAAACTTCTCACAAGTGGACTGAAGTGCCTCCTTTCCCTGGAAGGCACTCAGTCCTCATGGGCAGGGACCTTCTTCCACTACCCATATACCAAGGAGGGTGGGCTTCTCAGCTACCCCCCATCCCTCTGGGTCCCCCAATACTTCCTCCATTTCCTTTTTAATCTCATCCCAGGTTGACCTCTGCACCTAGTATGGGCCCTGGTTCTTCCTTATCCATTTATTCAAAATATCCTTTACCCTGGCTTGCCAGAACCCGCAACTACCCGCATCACTAGGGTTCGCTATACCCCCTCCAAGCAGCTGCGCGGACTGTTGGGGAGGGGGACTTACAGGCTGCCATTCACCTATCTGATGCAATGCATCCGAGTCACCAGCACCAAGATGTTAGGGGGCTTATTCCTTCACCCTGGTCCTTCTCGCATGAACAGAGAGCAACAATGCCCGAAGTCCAAAGGTGCAAACAATTCAATGTTTATTGGGGTGAACTTCCAGCAAGCATGATTCCAGTTTCCCTCCTTAGTGTCCCCCTTCCCAGCTCTGACACCACAGAGCCTTACCTGTGGCCCTGTTCCCATTCCTGCCCTTAGCTAAACATGATTCCAATTTCCCCACCCCCATTCCCTGTTCCCATTTCCCCCACACACATACACTCACTTCCTGATTGACTGCAGACTATACAGTAAAACTTGAGTTCTGCTTAGCTATACCTTGACCAATCATTTTACTGAAATTTAACTAACCAATCCTAACATATTGTAACATGATTATTTAACCAATTATGTCCCACCACCTTAATTAGTTTACACCCTGCAAAATTAATTATACAGCAGACAGGAACAATCACAGAACCAGACAGAGATTATGCAGACAAACAATAGGGAAATGGGGATTACAGTGATAGAACAACACAGAAATGAGGATTTCACATTCCAGCTATTGATAAGTGAGTTCTTGCCAGACAGGATGCTATCAAACTAAGTTTCCTTTTACATCTTCTAGGCACTTCCCTTTCTCTGGAGGTGATAGGCATTATCGGTACAGGATTGTATTCCTAACAGCCCAATAGCACCTTATTTCAGTGTGACCAGTCTGGAATGTGAGGACGTGACCGGTCACTTCCCAGTTTATGGCTGCCTCTGCTGCTTAGCCAAAGGCCTTAGCCTAAGAACAGGGCCTCAGTCTGTCACAGTAAGAGAATGATCTTACACCAGCAGACAGTGATTCTGATTCATTCTTTTATACCCCTATAACTAGCCAAGTGATAAGAATATACCTAAATTCTTAGAGTATAGGCCTTTACGGACAGGCCTGCATATCTATATCCTAACACCATGCACCCATGCTACCCTAGAAAAGCCCTATTAAACAGCCAGTCCTTTCTCCTTCTAAGTCAAGTAGGAATTTTGATAGTGACTATGGAAAACTGATAGCCAGTAAAGGAGACATTATTAATGGCTTGTTTAGATGAACAATTAATGTGCAGTAAAAGTGCAAAGATATAGCGCACTATTCATGTGGAACCTGCAACCGTGCACTAGAAGTTCCCTAGTTTGTTTTGATCCACCCTGCTTTGAAATAGGAGTTGGTCACTGCACACTGGGGAACTTTCAGTGCACAGCAGCAGGGTCCACACAGACAACTAGTGTGTACGTGCTAGCAAACAAACTGTTTCTCTGCACGATCCCTGTGTAACAATAACTTGCTGTTTTCAGATATCCACACACTGGTGGCAAAATATAATGGCTTTGGTGTAAGTCGATGTTTTAATAAACATAACTTACATGTAAATTCTGTGTATATGGGCTTCATATGAGGTATAAGGAGTTCTTCACATTTCTAGAAAACTTGATATTTCCCCCAACCCAGTACTCATTTAAAATGTCTTCAATGTGTGTTTTTCCTAGTCATTCCTCTTGCCAGTTACTGGAGACAGAGAGAGAGAGAGAGAATCTGGCCTGAAGTACAGCTCTGTGTAAGCTCAAAAGCTCATCTATCTCACCAACAGAAGTTGGTCCAATAAAAGACATTACCTCACTCACCTTGTCTCTCTATTTTATTGCTAACATTTATAATTCTACAAAAAGCATCCCAACAAACTATTAATGGTATATGGGCTATTTGTGTATTTTATGTATACATTATTTACAGTTCACTGTGTGATAACAAATAGATTCAGATAGCATGGCTGGTGCCTCAGCTAAGTTATTTCACTAAATTAATAACAACTTGTTATATTTCAGCAGATTAAGTTTGCACATCAAAGCTGGGGACAATATGGAACATTCACTGTGGGCCTAATTCTGTCACCCTTAGTCACAGTGGGCCCAATTTATCCCTATGTCAGAGGTGGGGCCAATGCAAGGACAGAGTGGAGGCATGTTACTCCTTCCCTATTCAGGCGTTAATTCAGCCTTCAGTACTGGCTGGGGCAGCCCTGAGGACTGACCTAATTTGTACCATTGTAGTAGTGTTCCCTATGAGCTTTGCAGGGGCACAGAATCACCAGGGTAAAGGATTGCCCCAGCATACTCTTCCCACCCCTGCCTGCTTTCTCCTTCAGCCCGCCCACTTAGCAAAAAGGCTCCCTGTACCAGGATATTTCTCTAGTCCAAAGGGGCCACAGCATAACTATGGGAAGGGACCATTTTTTGGTTAGGTGTTCGTACAGTTCCTAACACAATTGGGTCATGGGTGCTCCTATGTGCTATTGTAATGCAAATTAATAATAAACAACTATGAATTTAGTCCATTGAGCAGTGCCTGGCACCAGGAGTAATATCATTGACTTCTCAATGGGACCACACACAAAGCAAATACTACTCAGAAGAGCTGTGCAAACAACTGATTTTTCAGTTCATTGGCAGTTCAAAGAAAAATAGTTTCTAAGCTTTAATCATTTTTAATAAAGTTTATGGAAATTTCAGAACCAAAATAATTTCAAATAGTTGAAACATTTTGTTTTGAAAATGTCAGAACGTTTTGATTATTTTCAGGTTTTTCTTTTCTATTATTATTTTTCCTGACCAAAACAATTTGGCAAAATTGACACAAAATCACAAAATGCAATGAACCACATCTGCATTTTTCAGTGAAAAAATTTTCAGCCAAAAAATTTCATCCAGCTCTACTACTCAACATAAAGATGGCAGAAGCTGGCCAATAGAGAGCTGCAGCTCACATTATGCACAGAGTCTTATGTCATTCGCTTTGCTAATAATAATGTTGAAATTATAAACAATAAAGTTGGAGAGCTCTTTGCCGCTTTGCATATAGATGTGAAGTGGAGCCTGTTTCCACAGATCCTGGAACAAATTTCCTAGCCATTTCTTTGATGGATTTATTGCAGACCAACATTGCAAAAGTGATTAGTGATATTTGTATACTAAATCATCTCTCACTCAGACCAAATATTATGTAAAAAAAGTATTAAAAAAGAAGGAAGAGATTGTATTAAGGGACTACAACAGGTAAACTTGTAGCCTCATCTCAATCTCTTTTACACACTATCGGGTATCAGTGGGAGAGTAGTGGTATTTGTGCACTAAATCTCCCACCCACATCAAATAGTACATATAAAATAAATAAAACCACAAGAAGAGATTGAGTTGAGGCTACATGTTTATTTCTTGTAGCCCCTTAATACATTCTCTTCCTGCTTTGTTTCTGAATATTTTAACGTATTTGGTATAAATGACAGATTATTCCACTAATACCACTAAAGTAAAATTATTTATTTATCACTTATACACACTGAAGACGGTATATAATGCACATACTACCATTGCCCATGTCGTAACTAAAATATAACAAAATATCCAAATGTAATTAAAGTTTAACAGTAAATTTTGATATATCCCTTAAACCACAGTCCTGAAGGTTGTGGATTTGAGTCTTGCTCAATCTCCAATTCAAAGGCCATCTCCAGTTGATTCCGCTGCAAAATGGATACCAGATCCTTTGATTAGGGCCATAAAAGGCAGCTGAATGTGATGCTGGCCTCCTTTGTGTATCACTGGCAGTGAAATGGATGTTCCTTAACTGCATCAGCCCAATAAGCCATTGACTCAGGGGAGCTTTGACTTTGACTTAAGTGTCCCTTTCATAGTTCATGTTGACACCTGGAATTACAGCCCTAAAAGGTCACAATTTTGAATAGGGAATTTTTTGCAAGAAATTTTCAGCTGAACTTCAATTCAGCCTTTGTGATGCAACATAGCTATCACTATTCTAATGGCAACTATGTCCTTATTCAGAATATATTTTCAGGAGGTAGGGTAGCAATGTCTACAGCTATATAATTTGAAATTCTATCAAACAACTTCATGCTTGTGGAATGAGATTATAAATCATAAAACCAACTGGTAACACTACAGTATTACATTTTGCTTCACTCCACTAGTCCTGTGTCACAGGTCTTCTCTCACCTGAAAAAAATATTTTAACATAAACTTCTCAATTTATATATTATACAAAATATATATAAACAGAGAACTTCCTGGTCTCCTGGTAGCAAATCTATAAACTGAGCCTCTTGTCATTATACAGCTGATCCAAGGCAGCAAAGATAGTCTTTTCCAACTTAGTTACCCTTAAAAATGTAACATTTCCAAGGGCTTGTCTACACTACGGGCGCGACAGCAGCACATCTATGGCACCATAGCTTTGCTGCTGTAGAAACATAGTGTAGACACAGACTATGGTAACAGAAGGGTTTTTTCCTGTCACTGTAGATAATTCTCCTCCACAAAGGCAGGTGCCTAGATCGATGGAAACATTCTTCCATCAGCCTACCTTGGTCGACAGTGGGGGTTAAGTTGGCACAGCTAAGGCATTCAGGGGTGTGACTTTTTCTCACCCGTGAGTGCCATAACTATGTCAACCTAACTTTTAAGCATAGAGGAGGCCCAAGTGTTATTAAATGTCTGAGTTTCTTTTTATTTGATAATCCTGTATTTCAAATATTATAACCCAGATCAAGGTAGTTTTTAAGATCAGCTTCTCATTGAAATCAATTTCTGCTCCTGCTTAAAATAAAATAAAATACTCCCCCTAAAACCAGCTCTTATATCTTGATGTAGCCCTACACACACAATGCCAAATTTTCAGATATGCCATTCATTTTGGCAATAAATGAAATAACACTTACAGCAATCAGTTTTTATTTTTGAATATGTGACTCTATTTTCATTATCCCATAATGGACACAAAAATGAACATTCCCAATGGCATTGTACTTGCTTCCCAATGTTTGCCACATAGTGTTTTGAAATACCTTCCCACCAACCACACATTTTGTAAGGAACTTTGTTTTTTAAGTGCCAGATTGTTAACCTGTATATCCAGCTTCATGTTGTATTGAATTAAACAAAGAGTGACATCTTCAAAAAGAGAAAAATGTCTCTTTGGAGGTGAATGGGGTAGCAGGAGCAAGCTTAACAAAAGCAGTTATTTTTCTGGATATAGTTTTACATTAAATATGCTGGATATAATCTATTCACCACTGTATGACATATGAAGAGGATCACAAGATTAAAATCTTAAAACTGTAATAGGCTTGAATGATTTCCCATTACAACCTTTTGTCATGGGAACAGGTATTTTGTGTCAGTTCTGATCCTGTTTGGTCTTTGAATTAAATAAGGCAAGGACAAGAGCATTTATGACTATTTTGTTCATTCACACATGATGCAGTACCATTATTTGATTGTTGGAGATGCAGAGGGAGTAAAACACTCAACCAACCTAGTTGTTCATTATTATTACTTATTTGTACTATAGTCACATCTAGAAGTCCCAAGTGAGATCAGGTTCCCATTGCATTAGGTACTTTACATGCATTATGCCTGTTTCTGGTACCATTGAAGAATCAATGGAAGTTTTACCATTGGTTTCAGTGGCTGCAGAATTGAGCATAGAGTAGGATAGTGTCTTTTCTGAAGAGTTTATAATCTAAATAAACAAGACAAAGGACGAAGACAGGAAGTATTAACCCATTTTACAGATTTTGGGACTGAGGTGCAGAGAGATTAAGTGATTGCCCATGGTCTCACAGGCAGTCTGTAGCAGAGTCAGGAATTAAACCCAGATATCCTGAGTCCTACTCCACTGCCTATACCACATAGCCATGTCTCTCCTCTATCAATGCTTACACACACATATACCTTACACATGTTAGCTGAATAACAGTTTTGGTGTATCAGGCAGGCTAGATGTTCACGTTTCAAAATGGCAATATGGTTGAAAAGATAAGTAGCCATTTAAATGTTTACCATTTATAACACTGAATTTGGTTCACTATCAATTTGAGGGAAGGGTCATATTTGAAAGTATTCGGACAACCAATGTGCATTAATGAAAGTGAATAATATTCCTAAAAGTTTGACAAGTTTCCATCCAAAGTTAATCACTCATCCTCTTCCCTTGTTTATAATAAAAAGAAAATGAGTACTTGTGGCACCTTAGAGACTAACAAATTTATTTGAGCATAAGCTTTTGTGAGCTACAGCTCACTTCATCGGAAAGCTTATGCTCAAATAAATTTGTTAGTCTCTAAGGTGCCACAAGTACTCATTTTCTTTTTGTGAATACAGACTAACACGGCTGCTACTCTGAAACTTGTTTATAGTGTCTGTTATCTAATCATGGAGCAAGAACAATGGCAGTTAGGTGTTCAGTCACAAAACACAAATAATGCAGAAAAAATAGTCAGTATGCAGTTTGCAAACCACTGATAGGCTGAAAATATCTAGTAAAGTGATGACTACACGAAACAAATATATTTGCAGAATCAAGACTGATATATGAGAGAATCACTAACCAAAAACATAGCCTTCATTCATAACCTGTATTTTTCATAACAAGTAGTTCAACCACTCAGTTTGGTCCCAAAACTGAACTTTTAAATATTTCTACTGAAATGAAAAGAGGGTGAGAGACTTACTGACCTATAAAGATACTTAGTCCTGTTGTCACTGCAGCAACATTGTTTCTGT